CCCAAGCCAAGTCCCTACACACTCAGTGAGCTACTGCCGCCCTAATATTAATGTCATATTTCAATAGATCCTCCTATGTTACACACTGGACCTTTTAAATTTTGATTGAAAAAAAAGGAAAATGTTTAATGAAAAGAAAAGGAAAATTTTTAATGAGAAGAGAGAAACTTTCCACTGTATGTGGACCTTTAATACAGCCAACTGGTAATGCAGGCAGTTAGCTTAGCCTAGCATAATGATCCTGGCCCCCCCAAAAACTCTGGCCCGACCCAACCCCCAAAACAATTCTGTAAAATAAATAATAAATAATAAATAATAAATAATAAATAATAAAAAAAATAAACTAAAATATTTCATATATATGAATAAGCTGATCTACAGCAGCAGTTTTAGGCCCAAACACGGCAGGTCATGTCAGGTCCAATCGAGTTTGGGCAGAGAATTCTAGTTCTAATCTGGTTTGGTTTTTAGGTACACAAACAAAAATGTAAAATCAACAAGTTGTGGTTTCATGGGCTGTGAATATTTTTCTTGGACTGTAAACTTGTGACTCATGAACCACAGCTTGTTGTTTTTACATTTCTGTTTTACATTCCACGGATATGGTGCATAAATATGCATGAAAACTACCTGTATAATACATTACATTATTATAATTGCAATTTGAAGATGCATCCAGTCAAACCTTCATAAAAAAACTGAAAAAATAAGATCGAAATCTTCCATTTAGAATCCTAAATAAAATGGCCTGAGATTGACAGTGACACATTTTGAATAGATATATATGTTATTAGATACAGTGCTGAAAAAAGAGAAAGAATGAAGTTCAATTTTGACAAATTACAACATGGAAATGCACCGATTGGGCAAAATGGCCCTTCTCTCAAATTGAAAACTATACTTTTCAGCTTTGGACAGAGGCTGTTTTCTGTGTCTCAACTCTTGAAGCTATACCAGACATGAGAATGCTAACGATATTCTCATTTAACTGAGCTTAGCTAGAAAGCGAAGACGACCTCCCAAGATGTTGAACGATTTCTTTAAATGAAATGCAAATAGCCACCATCTCTTATAGTTAAAAGCCTGTGTGTATGCAGCGTACCTGCGGTGTGTGAGAAAGCTTCCGTTGGCGTGTCCGGAGCCATCACAACCTGGGGTGGGACAAGTAGGCCCCTCTGTCTTGAAGGCCTTCCAGTTGAAGGGTGTGCCATTCAGGAGACCCTCCTTCTGTCTGCGGGCTGCTAGTGGACACCCGTAGGCACTACGGTGTGTGGCATACTTCCCACTGATGTGACCCAGGCTGTCGCAGCCCGGCACCGGGCATCTGCAGGAAGAGGAGGAAAGGAGGGAAATGAGAAAAAGACAGGGGAGAAGGGTTAGACAAGGAGAATGCAAAAATATAAACTGTAGAGAAATTCAGTTCAGAATATTAGAATAAAGATTTAAGATATATACTGGGCCAAATTCATTGTCTTACATCTGTGTTTGACATATTATTAATGCAAAGAATTATATTACTGATGCAAGAACTATTAAGGTTTAGCACATGCAGTAATCAACATGTTAAATTAACTGTTTTGTGTGCAAATGCAATATGAAGCCCATGTATTTCTTATGTATTGACAATCTACTCTAGGATACTCTACCATGAACTACATTCAGAATCAGTATCTGCAGTAAGTGTATTTTTCCATCAGTAAGGGCCTGATTGTTTGATTCAATTACGGGGGCAGGTCACTACCTCTGCATATGATTCACAGTGACTTCCCTCTCTCTCTCTCTCTCTCTCTCTGTCTCTCTCTCTCTCTGTTTCTCTTTTTATTGCATTTTACTTTTACCGTCAGTCTCGCTAAAAGCAGACATTATGGCTTTCTGAGCGGTACGAACTTTAAAAGCTCGGAGTCCTCCTGGTTGTCCTTGGTAGGAGTTTTAATTCCACTTTTCTTGGCACGCGGGCACCCAGAGAGACTGAAAACAGAAAGTATGGAGTTGATAACATAGGGTTGAAAAAAGGTCTGGTGAAGTGATTGCTTAATAAAGGGAGATAACAATATAAGGAAGAATATTTTTACAGAGGTTGTTCAACCAAATTACAAACCAAATCAACTTAAAAACGCCTAATATGGCCGAAAATAGGATCATGGAAAGGTGTGGAAATGTGTGAGTATATGATCCCTGTCTAATTCTACCATGAACTGTCACTAGGCCTCTCTGACTGACTGTTTGTATGTGTG